AAAAAAAAAAAAAAAAAAAAAAAAAAAATTGAATCCATTATGCATGGATCTTTATCACACGGTGGCTATGTTTATTCTCGCGAAAATAAAAACTGTTGCTTCACCCCTATATTTTTTTCTCAAGCACTTGAATACGCCGAGTCTACGCGCGGTGTAATCTATTAATAAAACCGTTTATTTGCATTTTTCACTTTAAAAATTGCTAACCACATTTCTTATAACTTATTTGAGTTTCGTGTTTTTGTTTGTTTGTTGTTGTTGTTTTATTCAGAGCTGAAAAGTTGCAAGATGGCGATCATCATGACAGGACTTGTTGTCTTGTTTGTCTCAATGCTGCCGATAGGTCAGTATAGTCATAGTCTTTTGGAATGAGTATTTTGCTTCAAAACTCTTTGAGCGATTTACACTCAATTGTGAAATCGCTGTCTGGTTCAAATCATAGAACAAGGAAGCTTAGATCGAAAAGTATACTAGTAAATAGAGGATATTACATGGTCGCGCGGAGTTATGAATTTTATCTTCGAGTGTTCAATTGATATCTCACGAGTGAGGGCAGCGAACGAGTGAGATATCTAAATTGAACACGAGAAGATAAAATTCGTATCTCCAAGCGGCAATGTAATGTTCTGTTTATTATATAGATATCGATGAAATTTAAATAAAACAAAAGCTCAAAAATTATTTATTTCTTTATTCTTATTCTTTATTGTCAAGAGCGATATGGTATCTTACATTGGTGAAAGATATCAAGTTTTCGACACTAGAGAAAACCTGGTGTTTCATCGATATTTATATGATAAGAATAAATATGTGTTGAAGTCATCCATACTTTCTGTCAGTTTAGCAATTTATGAACATTTCACGAATTTGTATCTCTACATTCATCTAATTAACAAAACTCCCATGTACCATATCGGTCCCAGCTCAAATGCTCTATGCTTTTGCCTGTCAAGGCTCTAGACCAATCAGAAAGCAAGAAAATTCACAATAGTGGTAACAAATAGTTTACAATGTTTTATTAATTATTTGACAGGCGTGCATACTGGCGTCAATATGTCACTTGAGTGCTCCAAGCATATTCTCCAACCTCGGTATCGAGCCAATTGCGGCTTTCCTGGAATAACTAAGGACCAGTGTGAAAACGGGCATGGTGGTGGACGATGTTGCTATGACACCAGCGTAAAAGGCGTGCCATGGTGCTTCTTTGGTAAGTTTTTGTTTTTGTTCTTTATTTTTTTAGAAGATGTAACCAGCTAAAAACTAGTGTGAGCTGCGTCGGTGTTTCTAATGAAACAGTAATGATAAAAAAGGTAAATTATACACCGTAAAAAGATGAAAAAACTTACTGACGAACTTACTGAAACTTTTACTCCTTAGAAGGACTAGCGTCCGAAACGTCAGTAAGTTTTTTCATCTTTTCACGGTGTATAATTTACCTTTTTATCATTACTGTTTTATTTTTTTAGTATAAGTTCATGAGTGAATAGTAGTGGTACAAGGTGGTGGTGGTTGTAATGAGATTTATGAGATGCACATATCAAACTTTCCACATAGAAAAGTTGTCGTTCCGCTCGAGCTGTTTCTTTTACCATATATGGAATGTACTTACCATATTAGGAAATTGGAATATAATTTTCTTCACTAAATAGGCGAATTTCTTGCTCAAAACTGCTCAAATTTAGAGTAAATCGAGTGAAAACATCACTAACTAGTCAGCCATCTTGGTTTTGGCCGAAAAAAGACTGGAAATTRTGTAGGGGAGGGGAGCGTGGTTTGTCACCACAGGAAGCCCGCGAATGACAACAATTGTTTGATATGGTTATGAATAACAAGCAAAAACATACTATCTAATTGATAGCAAATGACGAACTGAGTTTGCCAATATAGCTGTATGCACGATCACGTGATGGCAGCCACGACAAGAAGTACTGCAATATAATGGTGTTTTTTTTTCTGTGAAACTAAATTCTTTCTGTTGTAAATTTGATTAGCACCCTGCCTCTGTTCATGGCTGCCATCAGAGTCTGACTTGATAATGAAATATAGTAAGACATTTTTGATTGATGTCTTGTACAGGCATTAAACGTTTGGTTTGCTACAAAGATGTTATCAACCCTAAGAATCGAGTCAATTGCGGATTTCCTGGAATAACTAAGGAACAGTGTGAAAAAAGGCATGGTGGTAGACGATGTTGCTATGACGATAGCGTGGAAAGCGTGCCATGGTGCTTCTTTGGTAAGTTTCCTATTTTCTTTTT